TTGTGGCCTTAAATTTTAAATTCACTTTGAATACTTCTTGCAATTTACACTTCCGTGCATAACCTTGACAAACGTTAAAAGAATAGGGTGAACCATTGATTTACCATCATATAAAATATGGTTTCAGTCTGAAAAGAAACATATAACATCAATTATAATTATTGTTTAAGATTTTATTTCATTAAAAAAAATCATTTTTTTATGAAAAATAATAATGATAATAATAATAATAATTAAAAAAAAAACATTCATATAAATCTCTATTGGACAAGAAAGCTTACTTTTACAAGTGGCATTAAATTTAACTCTTTTCCTATAAGAAAGGAGTAGGTTTGTGTGTGAAACCAGCAATACTTGTCCCCCGCTGAGCATGTGTAATATAATATTCGGATTTATATGCACATGCATGTGTCACAATAGGATTCTGATTTTTTAAAATTTTTTGAGGTGTTAGGATATCTTACCTGTTGGTCACATTATCTGACTGTAGTATCCTTATCTCCCATCTGCTCCCATGTCTAAACGCCTGTCATCGGTGCATTTAACATATTTAGAAAACATATGCCACTCTCTTCTTTGCCTAGGTACTCCTGCATATTAATCTACTTGGCACCAACCATTAAACCACCTTCCTCCTCCGTACCAAATTACCCATCTGTTGACTTTATTTATAGAGAATCACCAATAATGAACTTGACATGTCGACAGAAAAAGAAATTCAGATGATGAATTTAACAACATTTTCCCCAATCAATGGCATCTGCTACAATGTCTTAGTGGGCTTCATAAGTTGCTATAATGGTTGTGTTAAAATCAGCCAACTTAACACCAAAATCAATCCATCTTAACTCTGTGTGGCTAACAATCCAAAAATACTATTCATTGGAGGGTCAGAAACTCAGAATGATTTTTTTTAATTGCTATTGAATATTTTTGTACACTGTTTAAAAAAAAAAAAACTTTATATAAGTTATGTCATAATTAATTCCTTTTTATTTTCTGTCCTTTGACGCTGGGCTGTCAGTGATGACTTCAATCAAGATATCAAAAAGTGTGTGTTAAAAATACTGGTTATGGATTTTCTTTTCAATTGCCCTCCTCTCCCCCCCCCCCCTCGACTATTAATTAATGATATGTTAAATTGAGATCTTCTATTTGAATTGGAGTAAGGGGGGGTTAGGAAAGGGTAAAGGTCTATTTAAAAAGTAGGCAGTTAGGGGCTTGGGGATTCTGACTAAAGTATATATTTCACACCATATGTATGCATAAGTTCAATTTTCACACCATATGTATGCATATTTGTTAAATAAAAGGGTAAAGTGTAAACATAATTAAAAATATTAAGTTACCATTCCACAATAAATTCCTCCAAAACCTCCACTAAACACTAACGTTACACTAACCTCCCCTTTTAGAACCTTGCCTTTTGTTAAATATATAATTATTATAACTAGTATTTATATAGAACTGGCATTTTTTACAATTCCTCACAATTATACAGTGAGGCTATTTAACAACAAGTGATTGACTTAAAAGAGTAATGTAGACGTAACAGGTGAAGAGGGCTCTCTTTAAATTAGCTTACAATAGTGGTGTCAGACATCTCTGGTAGGTTACAGTGTTTATAGAACATTGTTGATATTTAACCCCTTAAAGACACAGCGTCAAAGTGAAAAGACCAGAATGACGGAAAATGTGGTTTAGTCCCGAAAGGATTAAGCTCAATTTCTACAGCTATTTTTTTAAATGTATACAACTGTACCATTTAACTCCATTTATGAATAAAAAAGTGTAAATGTGGTTAAATTGTACATTATTGTGAAATATATATGTGCATGATACATGATAATTATAGAAAAATACACGTAGTTTTATTTCCCTCGAGTACATATCTTTAAAGACTGGAAACCAAACTTCATCATCATCAGTTTCACAAGAGAGGTATATCATATTCTTACTAAATGACTCATTACATTTTAGTTAAAGAGATGTCTACAGATATGTATTTACCTTGATTTCTCCTTTTGCACAAGGCTCACTGCAGACAGATCTGATAACGGTGTTCTTGCTTGACCATATTTCATCATCGTCCATTTTGAGTTCACCGTTGTCCCAACTGCCTACGTTGATATAATCAAAATAATCTTTACCCATTTTCTTAAAGTTCATGATTTCATACCTTAAGAAAATATAAAACAGAAAAAGCATAAACATTATGTGCATAAAAACATATAAAATAATATAAAATATGTCATGAGATGTTTCAGCTCTATGGTTTAAAAAAAAAAAAAAGGTAAATATTTGTTAGATTCGTGGATTGAATTAATAAATGGAACAATAAAATACTGGTCAGGTTTCTTTGCTTTGCACTGGTTTTACATGTATGGTTTGCCCATATATAGAGAGAGACAGTTTAATTAATTGTTTCCCATCAGGCAATTCTTCACATAAAATAAATGGATTGTTGGATATACTTAGAATTTGTAAACTGGATACTCTTAACTCGTGATATCCTTGTGCTTATTAGACTTGTGTATTGAGTTCCATCTGAATTGAAATTCACCAGTATTTAGGCTGATTAGCAGTTCAGATGAATTTGTATATCAAAAATGCCATACAGATGTATAACCAAGCAAATAACTAGATTATGTTTGTTTACTTCGAGATTCGGAGTTCTGCCTGAGCCGGCAAAAAAAGAGATGGTCATTGGAAAAAGATGATTGATGGAAAGAGGACAGCTACTAGACTTGGGCATTTCAGAAATTTTCGTTTAGTCAGAACCGAAATTCGTCAATTCTTTCATTCATTTTCGTACGATATTCGTTAGTATTTTCGTTTCGGCTAAACTCGTTAGTTCATTCGGCACGATTTAATTGAACCAAATGAATTGAATACATAAGCTACTAAGTGTTGATTTTATTCACAGATCATATGAGAAGTAACCAATAGGTCCCATAGGAATGAATGGCAAAATGTTCAAAACTAGAGTGGGAGCTGGCAAAAGCTGAAAAATCAGGACATGATTTCTAAATTGCCACCACTCCCTCATTTTCAAGCCCACCTACACAAATCTTATATCAAAACGTTCAGCTATCCCTGCTGCCACTAAAAATGTCCACGGCTAAGCCATAGTCCTGATCATTTTCACAATATGACCATTTGTTTGCAACTCACGCTGTCCATTGACATTCATTGAAACTCCACTCTAGCCAGCTAAAATTTGAAGGGCAATTTCTAAACTGCGACTGTGCCTTCATTTTTAATATTTCAGAGACATACTATGCATCAAAATGTAGGTCTGGGTCACAATATAACGCTCTTCGCTGTAGGATGTACAGTTTTTAAAATACGACCGTTTGAAGATGGCAACCGCTAAAATACTCTGACCTGTGCCAGGCTGGAGCAGCAAGTGATGTCATAGACAGGGCCTTTTGTACACCTGCTAATGTTTTTATAAATGTATGTTTTAATGTAACTGTGAAGCACTTTGGGCATCAACGTTGCAATTAAATGTGCTATATAAATAAATAATAACAGTTACTCCGCCCACTCCAGTTGTAGACTACTGGTGGAGGCATAGAAACATAGACGGCAGATAAGAACCATTCGGCCCATCTAGTCTGCCCAATTTTCTAAATACTTTCATTAGTCCCTGGCCTTATCTTATAGTTAGGATAACCTTATGCCTTTCCCACGCAAAAACTAGGTTTGGTGACAGGTGAGGCCCTGCTAGATGTCAAGCGGTGTGAGAGGCTCTATCTATGAGTTGGCACGAGGGGATAATGTGGCCACTGAACATTGTGGCGGGGTGTTGGCCTCTCGGTGACAGTTAAGCATAAGATAGAATGGGAGTGACAGGTGAGGCCCTCCCTATGCCACAATGCGAGGCGACTAACTATGATTTGGCCCGAGGGGCGCAGTACCTCCGAGTATGAGGATGGGTGTTGGCCTTGTGGGACCACTAACCTAAGGTAAAGAAGCCGGGGTGGGGGGAATTACAAACTAGTGGACCCTAGGACCCTGACAGCCAGCCTGTGAGGAACTGACTCTGCTGGGTTTCGAACCCTGGTTTACATGGTGCTAAACCTCTTCCTTACCAGTACACCAGCCTGCCTTTTTTTTTTTTTTTCAGAAATTGTAGCTTTTCTTGTTTATAATACACTATTTGGCCCACTTCTGTACCCTTGAATTGTTTGGAGAAGTCGAACCATAAAATGAACGAGTGTAGGAGATCCTGAATTTATCCAGATGAACCGGATTTTAAAGACACGCACAAATCTAGTGTTTATCGAGGTGTGATTACAAGGAATTACTCTTTTAAGTGATCATTAATTTGCTAATCAGCATTGGGAATGTAGCACCAAGGTTATGTATTACCACACATCATTTGAATAGTGAATTTGTTAATGCTCAGTTTTAGAATATTTTTTATTAATTTTTTATTAGTTTTCTTTCTTTCTTGGGCACTAATATAAAAAGCTGATTTTTATAGTTCTCATTACCTACGGTTTATTGAACACAAGTAATAAATCAATTTTCACATTTATATATTTAGAAAGGCTTTTAATAGGATACCATAAATGCTATAAACTTTAAATAAATATAGATGATATATGAAGTTGCATATCTTGTCATAAACTTAATGAATTACCTAATTAACAAAAAGAAATGGCAAAATTGTTGGAAACACACAGGGAGTCTCGCAAGTAAAAAAACTCAGCAATAAAGTACGTAGTTTATTGCTTCATTTGCAACGCCAAGAAAATCAATAAGATATTAGATATATGAAGAATACAGTAAATTATGGGACACAGTCCTATGACAATTAGTGTAAAATATAGTTTATCAATATGATGATTAAAAAGAAAAAAAACAAATTGATTTATGCAGACGTTTAAGTCAATGGTAAAACATAATGTTGAATTGGAATGTAATGTGTGCTACTAAAACTGCATCTTATTGTGCTATGTAGAATCAAGACACAAAGGATAAAATTGACACTTTTTTTTGCCTGCCCTTAAAGCAGGGCTGTCCAACCTGCGGCCCCCCAGATGTTGCTGAAATACAACTCCCATGAATCCCTGGCTATCTGTTTAATTGAAAGAATCATGGGAGTTGTAGTTCAGCAACATCTGGGGGGCCGCAGGTTGGACAGCCCTGCCTGAGTGTGTGGCAGGTTGTAAAAAAGAAAAATGGACCTCAAGAAAGATATAAAGGAGCATAAGCCCTGTCAGTGCCAAATATATGCCCAAATCCTTCATAATACACTTGGAACAACTCTGTCACATATAGAATTATATCATGTTTGAAATTTTAAGATAAGTAAACCAAATCATGAATTTGTTTCTAAGTGTCAGTATATTTGGAGTTGTTTTTTCTAATAGAAATGGTGTTGGGTCATTTTGACATACAGTTTCTTCTGTGTCTCGATTCAGAGATTGAACCTTCAATGTCACGTTAGCATATATTCACTTACAGTGCAATCCCTTTAGTGACTGTTTTCAGGTGTGAATCATTGCATGACATTATGTATGCTTTTAATAGGAAACATTTTGTAAAAAATTGTTTTTTTAAAAATTGCAGTTTGAATAAAAACATTTATAAGTAAAAACATGACACGAAAGCTTTAAACTCTATTCTCGAGAAATACAAATCCATCTGTAGCGTTTTACAAGAGGCCACTGCTCTTACTAAGCAGTTTCCCACTTGATCTCTTCATTATTTAGAGGAACTTAAGCTCTTCCCTTTCACACTAACAGGACTTTTTGCACCCTTACTGCATATTGTATTTTCTCTGCAGGAAATTATTACAGAACCATTTCTCTATGATTGACTATATTATTTCCTTTTTCTTTTTAAATCCTCTTTTCTAATTTGTGTTTTGTGCAAATACACTAATCAGTCACAACATCAAAACAACTGACAGGTGAAGTAAATAACACTAATTATATCCTTATAATGGCACCTGGCACCAAGTGAACAGTCAGCTTTGAATTCCATGTGTTTGAAGAAGGAAAATGGACAAGTGAAAAGATCTGAGTGACTTGGCAAGTCTCGTGGGGTGATCCCGGTATGCAGTGGTTAGTATCTACCAAAAGTGATGCAAAGAAGGACAACATGTGAACCGGCATCAGGGTCATGGACACCCAAGGCTGATTGATGCAATATTGGAAGAAATCAGGCCAATGGAGGCAGTGTTATGCTTTTGGCAATGTTCTGCTGGGAAACCTTTGGATTCAAGTGGGTGTTACTTTGACAGATACCACCTACCTAGAGATTGTTGCAGACCATGTAAACCCTTCATGGCAATGGTGTTCCCTGATGGCAGTGGCCTCTTTCAACAGGATAATGTCAGATGGCTTACTGCAAAAATTGTTCAGGAATGGTTTGAGGAACATGACCAAAAGATCAGGGTGTTGTCTTGTCCACCAAATTTGTAGACCTCAATCCAATTAAGCATCTGTGGAATGTGCTGAAACAACAACTTCGATTCATGGAGGCCCCACCTCTCACCCCACCCCACCTCTTGCAGGACTTAAAGGATCTGCTGCTAATGTTTTGGTGCCAGATAAGACAGGACATGTTCAGAGGTCTTGTGGAGTCCATGCCTTGATAATTTAGGCTGTTTTGGCAGCATCAGGGGGATGATATTAGGCATGTGGTTTTAATATTGTGACTGATCAATGCAAGCAGAGAGCAGGGTGAGCTAAGATGCTGAAAACATTAAGCTCATATCACATGCCATTTGTGTGTGTATCCTACAGGGACACTAAGCACCAAAACAACTTTATGTAGCTTAATGAAGTAGTTTTGTTGTATTGACCATACCCCTGCAGTCTCACCGCTCCATTATTTGTATTTTTTGAGTTAAAGGACCACTCTGAGCAGTATAATGACCATCTCAATTAAATTGTTATGGGTGTGGAGATTCTGGGCACTGTCTTTCTTTATAGGGATAACCCAGTTTTAAATAGTTTTACCAAAATGTGCTATTCATAGACCCTGTTTGAGTTATACCTTTGCCTACTCCATTTCTGTCTTCAATGTTGAATTCTTACTCAGGGCCTCCACTGAAGGTGTCAGCTTTTACCTTTCTAATGCATTTCAAACAAAGGGAGGCTGTTGATAGGCTGAGTATCAGCTAATCAGTATATGGTGACAAAGGATTAAATAAACATTAGAGTAAATATTTATGTAAACCTATAATATTATATTATAATACATCATACTCTTTATATAGGATAGATAGGGAAGGCAAGGAAGGGGGAGGGGTGGCCTTGTATGTGAAGGATAGCATAAAATCTAGCCTAATAAAAGTTAGTGAGGCAAACATAGAGTCAGTTTGGGTTACGTTAGAATTTGGTAATCACACAGTAACTTGTGTAGGTGTGATTTATAGGCCCCCAGGACAAATTGAAGAGTTAGATAATCTACAAGTTGAGGAAATAGCTAAAATGACAATGAAGGGGGAAGTTATCATCATGGGTGACTTTAATCTTTCTTATGTAAATTGGAAAACAAAATTAGCTACTTGTGCCAGGAGCACACATATTCTAAACTCCCTACTGGGATTGTCTCTAAAACAAGTTGTTGAGGAGCCAACTCGTAAAGAGGCTATACTAGATTTAGTGTTAACAAATGGAGATTTGGTATCAGATATTACTGTAGGTGAAAGTTTAGGATCCAGTGATCATCAGTCAGTGTGGTTTAATATAAGAACAGTGACTGAGTCACACCACACAAAAACAAAAGTTTTAGACTTTAGAAAAACAGACTTTTCTAAAATTAGAATATGGGTAGAGGAGTCATTATCAGACTGGAGCAATTTAAATGGAGTCCAAGAGAAATGGGATTATTTAATAGTTGCACTATTGAAGGCAACAGAAAATTGCATTAGGCTTGTCAGTAAAAGCAAAAAATTCAAGAAACCACTGTGGTACTCCACAGATGTGGCCAAAATAGTTAAAAACAAAAAGTTAGCATTTATGAATTATAAAAAAACACAGAGTGAGGAAGACAAAATGATCTATAAGATTAGGCAGAAAGAGGCTAAGCAAGTTATAAGAGCTTCCAAATCACACACAGAAGAGAAAATAGCACAGTCAGTAAAAAAAGGGGATAAAACATTTTTTATATACATAAATGAGAAAAGAAAAGTAAAACAAGGATTAGTTAGATTAAAAACAAAAGAAAGAAGGTATGTAGAAGAGGATAAAGGTCTAGCTGACTGCCTCAATTAATATTTTTGTTCTGTATTTACAGATGAAAATTAAGGAAAGGGACCTCAGTTGAGAAAAAGGATAAATGAGTCATTTATTACACGTGAGTTTACAGAGGAAGAGGTTCTATTTCAACTGTCAAAAGTAAAGACAAATAAGTCAATGGGACCTGATGGAATACACCCAAAGCTATTAAAAGAGCTTAGTGGTGTACTAGCAAAACCATTAACAGATTTATTTAACCAATCATTGTTAACAGGAGTAGTCCCAGAAGATTGGATGTTAGCGAATGTTGTGCCCATTTACAAGAAAGGTAATAGGGAGGAGTCAGGCAACTATAGGCCAGTAAGCCTTACTTCAGTAGTGGGGAAAGTGATGGAAACCATGTTAAAGGATAGGATTGCTGAACATCTAAAAACACATGGATTTCAAGATCAGAGACAACATGGGTTTACTTCAGGGAGATCATGCCAAACTAATCTTATTGATTTTTTTGATTGGGTAACTAAAATTATAGAACAGGGTGGTGCAGTAGACATTGCTTACCTAGATTTCAGTAAGGCTTTTGACACTGTTGCACATAGAAGGCTTATCAATAAACTGCAATCTTTAAGTTTGGATTCCAATATTGTTGAATGGGTAAGGCAGTGGCTGAGTGACAGGCAACAGAGGGTTGTAGTTAATGGAATATATTCGAAGCTTGGACTTGTCACCAGTGGGGTACCTCAGGGATCTGTACTTGGACCCATTCTCTTTAATATTTTTATTAGTGATATTGCAGAAGGTCTTGATGGTAAGGTATGTCTTTTTGCTGATGATACTAAGATATGTAACAGGGTTGATGTTCCAGGAGGGATAAGCCAAATGACAAATGATTTAGGTAAACTAGAAAAATGGTCAGAATTGTGGCAACTGACATTTAATGTGGATAAGTGCAAGATAATGCATCTTGGATGTAAAAACCCAAGGGCAGAGTACAGAATATTTGATAGAAGCCTAACCTCAAAATATGAGGAAAGGGATTTAGAGGTGATTATTTCTGATGACTTAAAAGGTAGGCAGACAATGTAATAGAGCAGCAGGAAATGCTAGCAGAATGCTTGGTTGTATAGGGAGAGGTATGAGCAGTAGAAAGAGGGAAGTGCTAATGCCATTGTACAGAACACTGGTGAGACCAATTGGGCAGACTAGATGGGCCGAATGGTTCTCATCTGCCGTCACATTCTATGTTTCTATGTTTCTATACAATCCATAATATCTATATTTTGGTAAATTTTTAGAGTGTTTAGAGTGCATTTTCTAACTCCATCTATTACATTCTAGAGGTACAAACATAATTTTCATTTTAGAGTATTTGATTTGGTATGGTAAATGCAACCTGTTCTTCAATATATTGGGAGAATTTTTGAGAGCTATACAAAATTAAAACGTTATCATTCGGTCTGCTTAATAGATTTTTGCAGTCAGTTTCAGCTGAAATGGAATTCATGCGAATTTAGAGTGTGTGGCAGGTTGTCCAAATTTAGTAACTCTGAATTGGTCTGAATGACCAATTAGTGAAACAAACAAAACGGACAATGCATGAGCTGATGCGATTATTCGTGTTTCGATGACCATTTTTGGTGCCCAAAAAAACAATCATGTATCAGATGGACCAAATGCTTAAAATTCTCAACCGAATGCTAAAAATCATTATTGTCTGAAAGTATACTGATATTGAATTGTAAAATATTGATTGGGACTAGCTTAATTAACAGGACGCAAAAATTAGGCTAATTTTGTGCCCCATTCTGCTTCATCCAAATATTTTCACCAAATTATTTGCATTAACAATATTCAGACAGGTTGATAAAATTTGGTCAAAAAAAAAATACACAAAATCTTAACCAATTTTTTCACCATGCAATTTTTTCACTATGTACAGTTCTTATAATAGATAAATACATTAACAAAATACAAATAATTAAAT